ACAGAGGGCTGGCCGCCGGGGCCAGCGTGAGGGGCTGTTCACTAGCGGGCTGGTCAGGGCGCCCCTGAAAGCCGTGGGTGCTGGCTGTAGGCATGGAGGGCAGGGGACGGGACAGCATGGGAGACCCTGGCTTGGCCCCAGCCCCCGGGGGGCACCCACTTGAGACCCAGAGCCAAGAGCAGGGCCACAGGGATCCGGGTGGGGGTCTCTGAAGCCAGCGGTCGAGGCTGCAGGCAAAGCCCCCATGACAGGAGGGGCAGGCACCCCAGCATTACTGAGCACCGACTGTCTGCCTGAGCCTGGAGTGGGCAGGAAGGCCCAGAGGCCTGGGCGTGGCCACAGTCCACCAGCGGGTGGGGGCCTGGGGGGGTCTCTGGCCCCGCCACTACCCCCCATCCCTCCGAGGGGCCAACTGCAGAGGGCACGTCTGTGCTGCGGTGACAGAGAGCATCAGTGACCCCGGGACTTTTAACCCCAGAACGACACCATGGGGAGGGAGCAGGTGGCGGCCTAGCACCTGCCCCGGGGTCCCAGGAGTGGGCGGGGAGCAGGGCCTGAGCTGTCGCCAGGGCCTGGAAGCCTCTCACCCCAGCCCATGTGCTGCGCCAGGCGGGAGGCCGAGGCACACCCTGCCTTCGAGAAGTGGTGGGCCAAGGCGGGAGGCGGGTCCCACCCTCCCCACAAGACCCCGCGCAACCGAGGACCTCCAGGGACGTCAGCTGGGAGGTGGGGCGGCAGCCGGCCAAAGGCACCAGAGGCTCCTAGAAATCATGATTGTGATGAAATGTAACGGGTACTGTCTAAACCACTGCTGGGGGCCCAGGTCGGCGGCACTGAGGACACTCCCGGCGTGCTGGGGCCCTCCCCACGCTCACCTCCAGAACCGTCTCCTCTTTCTCAACCCAGACTCTGTCCCCATCACGTGCTGCCCCCACCCCCAGCCCGGCACCCAGCGCCTCCTTTCTGTCCCTACAGCCCGATGATTCCGGGACCGCACAGTGTCTGTCTTTTGATGACCGGCTTGTGTCACACAGCATCACTTCCTCAAGGGCCACGCACGCATAGCCTGTGTCGGGACCTCTCTCTTTTTCAAGGCTGCGTACTAGTCCACCGTATGGACGGGCCACACTTGATCCGTTCATCTGTCCACGGACCCTGGGTGGCTTTGGCCTCCCAGAGAATGTGTGTGACGCCCCTATGGACCAGGGTGTGCAGACGCCTCTTCCAGATCCCGCCTCCCATTCTTTTGGGGATTTACCCAGAAGTGGAATTGCAGGGCGACAGGCTAAATCCACGTTTAGTCTTCGAGGACGCCCAGCCTGCTTCAATGGCGGCAGCCTTGTTCTAACTCCCACCAGCAGTGTTCAGGGTTCTGGTTCCTGCAGCGTCCTCGCCAACACTTGTTATTGTGTGCTTTTTTGACGTCGGCTGTTCTAGTGAGTGCGAGGGGCTCTGAAAGCTTTCCCATGGACTTAGCCCCAAAAAGTCCACCTCCAAGGATTTATCCTCAGAAAGATGAACGTAGGGGGTCGTGACCAAGGCCCCCGTGACGGGGATTTTTACGGCAAACAAGACAGACCTGGGGACGCCCCGATGCTCCTGCTGGGGCTAGGCACAGCTGCCGGACCTGGAACTTTCCCGCCTGGAGTTCATCTCACAGTACATCTGGGCCACATTTGGGTTCTGCTAAGGATGCTTGCAGCAAGAGAGTGAGAGGACGGAGGGGAGCGTCGCAGACGCACCTCAGGTGGGTGAGGGCGAGTGGGCGTGAGGGGCCAGGCTGGCATGGCCGTCATGGAGAGGCTGCGTGTGGAGACTGTTCCTCGCACGGGGAATGGCCACCATAAGACCCAGGAGGCCTGTCCAGCATCTGAGGGGGGTGGGGCTCTCCAGGCCCACAGCTGGGGCAGGCGCTGGCGTCAGAGGCCTGGGATACCCCCGGGGGCACCCCCCCCCCCCCCCGCCACCACCGGCGTGCATGTCAGCGTGTGCTGTGGGCTGAGAACCCCAGGCGCACCAGGATTCCCTGGAGCAGCCGCTTCCTCTGTCCTCGCCCAGGGTTACCAAGGGACCTCGGAGAGACAGGGAGGCCAAGCAGGACTTGGGCCAGGGCCTCTGGCCCCGGGGCGAGGGCCACACTGGACAAACACCAGTGGACACCAGCAAGCATGGCCTGGGCACACTTGGTGCCTGTTTCCCTTTGAACTTGAGCCTTGAAACAGAGAGGAACCCAGAGACCTTCTGGGGTCTTCAAGGGGCTCTGGTCAGCTGGGCTGGGGTCTCCTCCCAGGACCCCCAAAAGCCACACAGATGGAGCGTCCTGCCCAACACGCAGCCGAGCACGCCCTCACCTGAGCTAGCCCCCCGGGGCTTCCTCCTCCTAGGTTCCAGCCCCACGGCCCCGCCCCACTCCTGGGGACCTGGCAGTGGCATCTCTGGCCAGCTCCCCTAGGACTGCCCAAAGGCCGAGGTCTCCTCCCAGGGGCTCGGTCAGTGCTGAGTGTGGGACGGGTTCACTGCCTGCTGTTCCCGAGGACCCAGGGTGGTCTGGGGCTGGCCCTGCCCTCCAGGGGCTTTGCCATCCAGGCCGGGTGCCAGGTGGGACTGGCCCCGCCCCACCCCCGCCTTCCGATTCTCAGAAGTGGCTGGGGTGGGGGCGCCTGTGTCTGGGGGTGCAGAGCTGCAAATCCTTCCTCCTCCAGGCTCCATCCCTCACGGCTCCTCCCCGAGAGTAAACATACGTGGCTGGCGGGGGGCGGGGGGGGGGGGAGCGGACAGTGCCCTGCGTGGCCTGGCTGGGCGCAGGGCCAAGGCCTCCCGCTACATAAGCCCCAGGCCCCCAGGGAGCCCACACTTGGCCAGCTCCCTCCTGCCCCTGCCCTCTGCTGTGCCGGCCCCAGGATGGGCACCCGGAGCGCGTGCCGGGCGCTGGCGTGGGCCTTGGCAGCCCTGTTGGCCGTGCACCGGGCAGGTAAGGCCCCCGGCCCACTCTCCATGTGTGTGCACGGTGAATGGGCTCCACTGGCTGCTGGCCTGAGAGTCTCTCCTGCCGAGCGGACAGATGCCCACGGCCTCCCCAGCCTCCCAGATGTGGCCCATGGGCCTCTGGGTGTTCAGCCTGTGTCCCACTCTGGCTGACGTCATGTCAGGGACCCAGAGGCTGGGGATAGGCTGAGAGAAAGGACCGGCATGGATGAGTGTCTCTGGAAAATGCTGACGCCGACCACAGGGCAGGGGCCCAGGACACCGCCTGGGGGGTCTCAGCCCCGAGGGTGGGACAGAAGCAGCGCCAGGTGGGGGCTGTGGCTGCCTCTCTCGGGGCTCGGTGTGGCCCGCGTGTGTGTACGCAGGTCCTGTCCAGCATCCGTCTGCCCTCACGGCCGGCCCTGGGGCCACAGCAGCGAGGACAGGGAGCTGCCTGGGGCCACACAGCAGCCACCACCCTGCTACTGGCGGCCGCTCCAGGCCATGTCCGAGGCCGGTCTCTCTCAGCCCAGCGGCTCCCCTTGTCTGTCTGGGAGGCGCCACCGCCTTAATACTGAGAACAGGGACAGAGAAGGCCCCAGGGGTGCCAGTGACACCCAGTGGGGCTGGCCGAGAGGTCCATTCCTGCCCTGGCTTGGGGTCTGCACTGGGTCAGGGGCTCACTGGAGTCACTCCATTTGTTGGGGAGATGACCTCCTCAGAGCCCCTGACCCAAGCCCCCTTTCTTGGTGGTCAGCTGGGTTTCTTCCAGCTACCCCCTGGGGCCTGGGGAGCTGCCAGGTCAGGGTGGCCTCTCCTGCCGTGAGGGGTGGGGTGCTGGTGTGACTGGCACCGCTGTGTCCCTATGCCCGGATTTTCTGGCCATGCGGCCCAGGCTCCGTCCACCTAAGTGGAGGGGGCTGCTGTGGCCGTCAGCCCCACTGTGCCTCCCAGAACTTTGCTCCTAATGGGGTCTTGGTGGAGTGGCCGGGGCTGGGGCTGCACCTCACCTCTGTCGGCGCCCCGGGCTTCGGGCACTGACCGGGGCGACAGTGCCATGGCGGCCATGAATGTGTCTCTGGTTGAGTGATGGGAACTTGCTCACCTGGCCCAAGGAGGGCCCAGCACCCAGCAGATGCCTGAGGAATGGCGGAGACAGGGCCAGGCACACCCAGGGCGGGGTGCAGGCCTGGGGTCAGCGGTGGGCAGAAGGAGCAGCGGGCTTCTGGGAAAGACAGCCAGCCGGGGCTGCCGAATGAACGAGGAACACAAGGCCAGTCCCATGGCTCCAAATGTCAGCAGGACACACTGGGACGGCCAGGCAGGAAGCCAGTCATCCAGGCAGCCGGCCGTGTCCAGGCCGTGTGCCCGTGAGGACGGCCCGTGCTATGCCCTGCCACGCCGCGGGGACACCGGGCCCGTCTCCCACCTCCCCGGAGGCCCAGGCTTGAGCATGGACTCAAGTCAGCCCCGGGGAGGGACTCAGGGCCACGTGAAGGGAGTGCCCTCAGCTCAGCCAGGCAGACTGGCCTAGGGGACCAAGAGCCTTGGAGTCCTGGGGGCTGGAGGTGCCTTGGCCCAGGGCCCGCGCCGGAGTGCAGTCTGGGCCACGCTGGTGGACGAGGCCCGGCCCAGGGGCCGTGGACGACCCAGGCCAGCACGCAGCACCAACCACAGGCTTGTGCTGGCCCCAAGGCCTGCCCGCCCACTCCATCCGGCCCGACCTGTGGGTCCAGCTGGAGGCCGGTTCTGGTCTTGGGTTTCCGCTAAGTCACGCCTGGAAGCTCTGGCCGCGTCCTTCCAACAAAGTCGGGCTTTGTCTTCCGAGAGACGTGTGGGATAGGGCTGAACCCCCTTCTCGGATGGCTAAGGCCTTTTCCTGATCCTGCTTCCTGCCCCCGTATGGAAGTGTCGAGGCCACCCGCACTGTGCAGATGAGAGGGCCGGGGTCCCTGGACAGTGCCAGTCTTGCTTGGACACAGTACGGGGCTCTTGCTGGAAGCTTCCATGCCCAGAGGCCGGGCTCTCCATCACGCTGAGGGGTGGTGGCGGCGTCTGTGGCTGACGGGGTTGGGGTCACCCCAGCAGCCCTGAGGGATCTTGGCCTCAACCAGAGTGTGCTCATGGGACAGACTTGCAGGGTGCAGAGACCTGCCACCACGGGCCTCCAACTAAGCCACTGTGGCCATGGGCCCCCGGTCAGGGCTATGACAGGAGCCATGGGCAGAAGCCGTGGGTAGGGGCCATGGGCATGGATGAGCAACCCCCACCTCCTTCTCCCGCAGAGACCCAGGGCAGTGCGGAGCCCAGCTGGGGAGGCACAGAGCCTGTCACGGACAACCAGAGGACACACAGCGGTACGCAGCCTGGGCTGGGGTGAAAGTTACCTGACCAGGCAGGAGGGGCGGGGATCCAGATGGGGGGTGGGTAGACCCTTCCCAGGCCCCCTCTGCACGAGGACAGTGCTGGGCATCCTAGGGTCCTGGGGGCTCCAGCGGGGAGAAAGGTGCAAAGAAACCACAGGCGCAAGCTTACACACGTTCACACACACATGCACACTCACATACGCACACATGCACATATAAACACGCAGGCAGCAGCGCTGGGTGGGGACATTTCTCAGGGCAGGTGGGGCGGGCCCAGGAGGGCCCAGCGGTGGCCAAGGAGGGACAGGACAGGACAGCTCTGCTCCCACCCATTATCTGGGCCCATCACCCCAGAGTGACCCATTGGGGGGCCTTGGGAAGGGTGTCCCCGCTGTCCCTGCCCGGCCACGTGCCCGGCTGACCTGGCTCCATCCACAGCCTACACGACCTCCTCGCCCACCCGGCACCTGAGTTTCATCCCACCTGTCACCCTCTTTCCCAGCGTGAGCCGTAAGTGGGTGCCACCTCTGCCTGCCCTGGGGAGGTCCGGTCAGGCCCTTGGGTGGGTGACCCAGAGCTGGGGGTGAAGCTGGCCCAGTGTGGAGCAGCGGGCAGGACTGGGGCCTTCCCTGGGGATGGCTCTCCTGGACTGACCGCCCTGGCCTGGGACGGGATCTTGGGGTCCGGGGTCTCAGGGAGCGAGCCCGGCGGGGTGCCAGCAGCCAGACCGCAGCTTCCTCGCTCCAGAAACAGGCACCAGGGCCCAGGGGTGGCTGCCGGGTGGGGTCTGGCACGGGGCAGGGAGTCCTCAGGGCCTCACCGCGTGCTCCCGCAGCCCTGAACGCCGCACACAACGGGCGGGTGTGCAGCACCTGGGGGGACTTCCACTACAAGACCTTCGACGGCGACGTGTTCCGCTTCCCCGGCCTCTGCAACTATGTGTTCTCCGCGCACTGCGGAGACGTCTACGAGGACTTTAACATCCAGCTGCGCCGGGGCCTGGTGGGCTCCAGGCCCACGGTCACCCGCGTCGTCCTCAAGGCCCAGGGGCTGGTGCTGGAGGTGTCCAACGGCTCTGTCTTTGTCAACGGGCGGCGGTGAGTCAGCCCGAAAGGCCCGTGCCGACCCGTGCCCGTCCATGTTCCCATCCCTACCACCCAGACTGGGTGGGCCAGGGTCAGAGGGCCGGGGCAAAGCGGGGCAGGGGCCCCGAGAGAACTGGAGCTTTCCACCAGGGAGCAGCTGCCCTACAGCCGTGCAGGCCTCTTGGTGGAGAGGAACAGTGACTCCGTCAAGGTCAGCGTCCGGCTGGTCCTGACCTTCCTGTGGAATGGAGAGGACAGTGCCTTGGTGAGGACGCCCCCTGCCCGCCCCTCCCAGCTCCGCCCGGGGACCCCCACGGGAGGTGGGGGCCGCGCCTCCCTGGGCGGGGTGGAGGCGGAGAGCTGGCGGGCGGAGATGCTGAGGCCGGAGCTGCCCCTCCCGCAGCTGGAGCTGGACCCCAAGTACGCCAACCAGACCTGCGGCCTGTGCGGAGACTTCAATGGCCTCCCGGTCTTCAACGAGTTCTATGCCCACAGTGAGTGCTGGCCCAGCCGGCCCGGCCGAGTGTGCCAGGAGGAGAGGGGCCGGGAGACGAGCTGGGTGGGGAGTGGGGCTGAGGCCGTGAGGGGGCACGGGGCAGGGTGGGCATGCTCGACCCAGGCAGGCGGCCATCCCCGGGTGCGGCCCGCGTGGCGTCTCCGGACAGCAGCCTCCGGCTGCAGGAGCCCCGCCCCCAGCCCCCCAGCGCCGCCCACACGAGCCTTTCCCGGCAGACGCCAGGCTGACCCCTCTCCAGTTCGGGAGTCTGCAGAAGCTAGATGGGCCCACAGAACAGTGCCAGGACCCACTGCCCTCTCCGGCCAACAACTGCACGGACGAGGTGCGCCCGCACTCCTGGCAGGGCCGGCCGGGAGGGTCTGTGGCCTGGGGGAGTGGGGCGAGGCCTGGGGAGTGTCTTTGAGTGAGCGGGGAGGGTCCAGGACGCGACCCTCATGCTCCAGTGTGCTCAGTTCCACGCGTGCACACGGCAAATGACGGTCGGTATGTGGTGATGTGCATGTAGAGGCCTCACTGGCCGGGCCGAGGGTGGGCACCCGGGGACCCCGAGCTGCACACGCTTTGTACACTCAGGGAGGGCCATGGTCACCCCTCCAAGCCAAGCGCAGCTGCACACCGGCCACCATGGACTCACGGGGGCGGGGAGGTGGGAGCTGTGGCGAGGACCCCCAGGGAAGGAGGGGCTCCCCTGCCCGGTCTGTGGAGAGGGGGTGCCGGAGTGCCCCGGCAGCCCCCACCGAGGGCAGAGGGTGCCCATGCACTGTCTCCCAGGAGGGCATCTGCCATCGCACCCTGCTGGGGCCGGCCTTTGCTGGCTGCCACGCGCTGGTGGACGTGGCCGCGTACGTGGCCGCCTGCGCCCAGGACCGGTGCCGCTGTCCCTCCTGCCCGTGCGCCACCTTC